AATAACAAAAAAGTCAAAAGTTATAAAAAATACCTTCAAATTCACTGGGAAAACATTTGAAATATGAGATAAATATGAATAATATCAACATTTTAAGTCTGATAAAGATGCAGGTTTGATTAAAAGGTAAAAAACACAAATAAAAAAATGAATACAATTTGCTGAATATATTTGTTTATATGCGTCCAGAAAATGGAATTTGTTTCCGGGCTTTTGAAATGAATTGTCATCGTTCATTTGAACGTTTTTTTTTGCCAGTTCATGTCAAGTGTTAAATATCTAATTTCTTCCTCCCTCCTCGTCTTCGTCTTTACAGCAGGAGACGATGAAGCTTTTTAGAGACGCAATTACAGACGCATTAGTTTAATAACGAGGAAGATGTTCCCTGTTATTCCATTTCAAATCATTTGGTTGGATTACTGTCATGAATGCACATTTTAATGAAGCTTTTCTTCTTTCAAATTGGACACTTTATAGCTGATCATTATTTCTGAAATCCATTAAAGTCAGAATTTGTCAACAATTTTAACATATCCGTTATCACAATGTGAAAGGACAATCAGATCTCTGTCGGGGACAAAATGTCCACCAAATATATTTTAAACTCCACAACGACGCTCTTTCTGTTTAAACCGGCTCGAGATACACTTTTTGTTATATTCCATGGAATGCTCTTCACATCCCGATAGCAATGAATATCTGAAGTGCTTTGACAAAAATCCATACAAAAATGTCATCTGTGGAAGCCGTAGTACTGTAAAAAGCACGACCAATCATTTTAGCCGGCCCGGCTGCGTCTATCGTTTTTCCAACCCAGTTTAGATTTAACCACGCCCACTTCCGCATTACGCAAGCATCGACGTAGCTCTACGTGATAGCGTCATAGACTTCATAGACTTCATCTTCGGCAGTTATAGCTGTCGCGGTAAAGCAGAATATTGAATAGTTGGTTTGACTGAAAGTAAACGATCCTATAATCAAAGCCATATCGAAGAGTCCTGAGATTGTATTACTGGTGTTTTATCATCTATAAATAGCCTGTGTGTATCCTCAAATTTCGTTTTCAGGACAAACAAAAGACGTTTTAAAGATCTTATCAGCTGGTGTAAGTGCAGAATATTGACTATAACCTTAACTATTACTGTGTACTTCATTTATCTGACAGCATTATTTAATGATACTATTTTATATATATATATAAACACTTTTATTAATTCATTTATATACACATACTGTTTTTATATATATATACACACATTTATAAACATATATATATATAAACACACACTTATATGTACTCACACGTGTATTTATTCATTTATACACACAGATTTATTCATTCATTTATACACACACTCACATATACACTTTATATTAATTCATTTGTACACACACATACATATATATATATGTATGTATAAATAAACACACACAAACAAAAAAACACAATATAATAAACACAGTTGCAATAATCATTTGTACACACACACACACACACACACACACACACACATAAATATATATATATATATATATATATATATATAAACAAAACAACACAATATAATAAAAACAGTTGCAATAATAATAACATAATATGATATGATCAATTCTACCCTTTTGTTTTTGCTCCCATATTTCAATTAAAAGATATTTGTCAAAATCAATATTGGTGGGGGCTCTTTTGCAAAGATTATCAATAACACCACCTGACAGTTGTTGCAGATTATACAGCATTACTTGTTACTTACACACATGTGCGATGGTCCCAAAAAAGCCAAAATCTGCACTGTAAAAAAATATATACATTTAGGCACTCTGAATAAGGGTTGACTGTAATAATCATGCCTTTTAATTGGTGTATATGTCTCACCAGGTGAAGGCTGGGACAGTGGGAGGGGTGAGGTAGGAGCAGGGGACTGCTGAATGCTGAGCTGAAGTCCCAGGATACAATCCCAAGTTGACTGCATGATCCACTTACCTGTTTGCATCAACTGCAGGAGGTCAAGCAGGGGTCATGTGATGTCCTTTAGGTTGGATCAACACCAGCCTCTGGAAAGATTTCATGACTGCAGAGGGCAGTGGACCTTTAGTCATTTCATACTGTGATGTAGGGTAATGGATTTGTATTAACAGGGAGGTTATATTTCAGCATTTGAGATACACCTTGAGGCCTGATTTGGTAAAAAGCCCACTTACCACGACAAGGTACAGGCCATAAATGGGATAAGACATGACAAAGACATAAGGTGAAAAACAAATGAGAAAGAAAGGCATACACATATACAAACAGATACATAAAGGGTGTAGAGGGGCACTGACTAGTGTCCTGCCTCTAAACAGAGGGATGGGGGTGACGAGGAGTCAGAGGGTGTAGAGGGGCACCAAATAGTGTCCTGCCTCTAAACAGAGGGATACAATAAATACATTAATGTTTTTTTGAATGGCTGGTGTTCAACACCACTGCCAAACTTAAATTGTGCTGTTTCACAGGGCGCCCAGAAAATAAACGCCATCTTGAGCCAGCGCCTGACTTCCTGCGTGCAACAGCTGTAGGCTGGCAGCCAATCATCGGGCCTTGACGTCTGGAAGCCCGCCTTAAAATGGCGGCCCTTTTGCTGGTCAGGCTGCCAGATTTCCCAAAGGAATGGAAGGCTGACAGCAGTTTGGAGGGGTTGCTTCTCAGGACATTGTACTGCTTAGCCATTGCCAGTAGCCCAGCAGTGAAATGTGGATCCTGGCAACGACTTTTCATTTCCTCCATCATGTTATCCACAAGAGAGACGTCATCTGATGCGATATCTAAGAGGGAAAAATATTTAAATTAAAGGTTTATTTTTTAAGTTGATATTATACATATAGTAACAATTTATTAATTCATCAATCTATTAAGCACCAAAATGATGTGTGAACATAAACCTGCACACTCACAACTCACCTTCTTGATTCTGTAGTGATAAACCTATAGCATATTATGTTTTTTCAGCTGTTATATCCATTACCTGCTGAATATGCAATGCTGCAATGTTGCCATCTTGGGGGAGGAATTTTGCTCGCTGGAATGATTCCCAGCGTCCAAGGGCAACATCAACAATGCGTGCCTCATAATAGGTCTCCAGCCTCGAGGTCAGCAGATCAAACAGCTGAGGAAGGTTGAAGGCCTTTGTCCTCTGCAGTATTTTGTCCTTGAGGACACGCATTGCCGCTTCTGCAAAATTGTTGGTATTGTTTCCTCTGGTGAGGAAACTGCCTCTATAACTGAGGGCCCAACACTCTCTTCTGGCGTACAGTCGGTCCAAGTACCTGAGGAACTTTTCATACCTGCAATTGGTTAGAAAAAGAAAAAATTATCCAAACAGTAAAGCTTAATCACTTCATTACATTGGGTGTTGGATGTTATTTGATAAGAATAAGTCAATTTCTCTCATATGGCTAAACAAAACATCACTAACTTGTCTGAATTAAACACTAACCTGGCTACAACTGGATGCCCTCTTGCCTCGCTGTAAAGCCTATCCACACTGCCTATCTCCTGACAGTAAAGCATCTCTTTTACAATGGCAAAAAGTGCCGGTCTGTCTCCGTGAGTGACCCCACTCTCCTTGCTCCACAGCCACCTCCAAACTGCTTGTAGCAGATGGAAGGAGCACAGGAGAAGTGTGGCCTTAGGAAATGCTTTTCCCAGAGCTCCCCTCTCTGCCCTACAGTCATCTGTGATGACCAGTTGTGGCCCTTCGTGTCCTCTGCCAGCAAAGCCCTTCTCTCCAACAACTTGTTTGAGCTGTTCCAGCCCTTGAGCAATAGTCTGCTCATCCTCAGACTGGCAGAGGAGAATGCCCAGAGGGAGGCCACCTGCACAGCTGTGGGTCAGGAGGAGGAATACCCTGCAGTTCTCCCTGTCCATATTCCCTGAGGAATCTATGAAGCACAGCTCCCCACTGTGCTTCAGTTGGTGCACTTTCTTCATGAGTGGAGAACACACAACCACAAGAGGAGCTCCCTGGGAAGTTGTTCCCAGGAGAGCACAGGTGTCATTACACTTATTGTTGTAACTCTCCACTTGAAGCTTGAGCGCTGCCAACATCGTGGGACCTGTTTGCGTGCCATACTCCTCCCTACACACCTTGTGGAACAGTCTGGGTAGAAAATGAATTAGTTGGTATGGGTGTCACTTACATGCAGTAGAAAAGCGTATTTGTATTCACTGAATACATCATAGTTTTTATTGCATCGTTATTTATATAGTGGGTAGTAGGCAGCCGGGCCGCATCTATCGTTTTTCCAACCCAGTTTAGATCCCACTTCCGCATTACGCAAGCATCGACGCGGCGTTACGTCACAGCATCAACCTGGAGTCACATCCCTATGGTTACATCACTGCCTCACGCGACACACCCGCGAAATCTGAATCTGACAAGCGAAATACCATCCTTTTAAACGCCGCATAATATACAATATACAATATAATAGTGCTTCTTTGTCAATATGACTGACGACCACACTTATGCAGTGCTGAGGTAATGTTAATTCATCATTTAATATTAATTCCTGATGGATATAAGAGGGATACATTAGCAAACATCTGTATATATAGCCTATATATATATATAATGTTTCGTTTTTTTGTTTGTCATCTAACATATTAACGTTTTGACCTTCTGTTTAGGATGTAAAGGTATCTATTTAATGTTTTATTTAAAGGTAGACATTTATAATATGTTATAAATGTCTATTTTGTTATATAATACAACATATAACATTTTGCCATGTAAAAATGAAATGTTGGGACATTTTATAAAAATGTATTCCTTTACATAAAAGTGCTTTCCAGAGGTGTAAGAAGTGATAAGATCTTGTACTTGAGTAAAAGTACAAGTACCAGAGTGTAGAAATACTCAAGTATAAGTACTAAAGTATTAGCATCAGAATAGTACCTGAATAACTATAAGCTGGTTTTTTTGCTTTCATTTCAGACCTCGTGTTTTAGTGTGCTCTGGAGACACACAGAACAATATAGAGGAGTACCCGCAGTTGAAGGTATCTGATAATAAGACCTATCTCTCAATACTATGATGAACATCAAATTACATTGAATGTGTTTGCTCATATCAATGCCTCACCTACACATCATCATCATCATCTAAACTATACCACTTAATAACAGACTTATTGTCCAGATAAAAGACAAGGCATTACAAAGAATAACATGCAAACACATGAAGTACATTTAAAGAGAATATAAACATGTTAGCATAACTATACCAATGTTTTAGGATTTTGAGGGTTGGATTTTTATTTTTCAGACTTTTTAAGCCTGCAAGTATAATGTGTATTCTACTCTAGTTCTAAGTAAAGTCAGTACATTTTAAACCTCATGGTCCTCTTTAGTTCTTCAGATCATGGCAAAACTCTTACTGGTATTCTGAGCTGACACAGTATTATGTGTGTGGATTTGAATGAATAGTTGTCTGTTTCCTTGTAGGGTTGGCTACCAGGTGAGTTCAGATACCACGTGTGCCAGTATGAAGAGGTGGTTTCACTGGGGGACCACACTGGTTTTGAGGCCACTTTGAGGCTGGATGTCCACACTGTGGAACAGGTCAAGGAGTGGGTACAAAAGCTGAAGGGGTCATCAGGGGTGACATGGAGGGTGGATGTTACCCGACCCAGGTTGGGGAAGCGGGTGCTTTTCAAAGTAAGTGTTGTCTTGTTGATATTTCTTGAAGTTACCTTTTAATTATCCTTTTTACTTTGATCTGTACTATAATAAATCTGCTTTATTTTGTTCAGGCAAGTTATAAGTGTCAGCATAGGGTGAACCCGAGAGCAGCCAAAAGCAGCAAGAACACCTGCTGTCAAGCAAAAATGCACACGACACTCAAGAGAACTCGTGGGGAAATGAAGTGAGTTTACTGATCCACATACTTATTATTTCACGTTTTGCTTTTTTTACATAATATTGATATATATATTGATTTATGTTATAGGACCGAAGACCCACACATGCCTGACCTACCATTTAAGGTTATTATAATAAACAGGCACAACCACAATCTTTTTGTTGCGGACGCCATCCGCCACCGAGATGTTGGGGAAAAGGCAAACAACATACTCACAGGGCTCTTTGAAATTGGCCACACTCCAACATCTGCACTGTCGGTCCTGAAACACGACCTCCAAATGGAGTATGGGCAGCGTTATGTGTACGTGTCGGCCAACAGGGAGATTTGCCCCGACCTGCCTTATGTACAGAGGTGGGTATCACATCTGGAAACATGGTCAAGATACCTACTACCCACTATATAAATAACGATGCAATAAAAACTATGATGTATTCAGTGAATACAAATACGCTTTTCTACTGCATGTAAGTGACACCCATACCAACTAATTCATTTTCTACCCAGACTGTTCCACAAGGTGTGTAGGGAGGAGTATGGCACGCAAACAGGTCCCACGATGTTGGCAGCGCTCAAGCTTCAAGTGGAGAGTTACAACAATAAGTGTAATGACACCTGTGCTCTCCTGGGAACAACTTCCCAGGGAGCTCCTCTTGTGGTTGTGTGTTCTCCACTCATGAAGAAAGTGCACCAACTGAAGCACAGTGGGGAGCTGTGCTTCATAGATTCCTCAGGGAATATGGACAGGGAGAACTGCAGGGTATTCCTCCTCCTGACCCACAGCTGTGCAGGTGGCCTCCCTCTGGGCATTCTCCTCTGCCAGTCTGAGGATGAGCAGACTATTGCTCAAGGGCTGGAACAGCTCAAACAAGTTGTTGGAGAGAAGGGCTTTGCTGGCAGAGGACACGAAGGGCCACAACTGGTCATCACAGATGACTGTAGGGCAGAGAGGGGAGCTCTGGGAAAAGCATTTCCTAAGGCCACACTTCTCCTGTGCTCCTTCCATCTGCTACAAGCAGTTTGGAGGTGGCTGTGGAGCAAGGAGAGTGGGGTCACTCACGGAGACAGACCGGCACTTTTTGCCATTGTAAAAGAGATGCTTTACTGTCAGGAGATAGGCAGTGTGGATAGGCTTTACAGCGAGGCAAGAGGGCATCCAGTTGTAGCCAGGTTAGTGTTTAATTCAGACAAGTTAGTGATGTTTTGTTTAGCCATATGAGAGAAATTGACTTATTCTTATCAAATAACATCCAACACCCAATGTAATGAAGTGATTAAGCTTTACTGTTTGGATAATTTTTTCTTTTTTTAACCAATTGCAGGTATGAAAAGTTCCTCAGGTACTTGGACCGACTGTACGCCAGAAGAGAGTGTTGGGCCCTCAGTTATAGAGGCAGTTTCCTCACCAGAGGAAACAATACCAACAATTTTGCAGAAGCGGCAATGCGTGTCCTCAAGGACAAAATACTGCAGAGGACAAAGGCCTTCAACCTTCCTCAGCTGTTTGATCTGCTGACCTCGAGGCTGGAGACCTATTATGAGGCACGCATTGTTGATGTTGCCCTTGGACGCTGGGAATCATTCCAGCGAGCAAAATTCCTCCCCCAAGATGGCAACATTGCAGCATTGCATATTCAGCAGGTAATGGATATAACAGCTGAAAAAACATAATATGCTATAGGTTTATCACTACAGAATCAAGAAGGTGAATTGTGAGTGTGCAGGTTTATGTTCACACATCATTTTGGTGCTTAATAGATTGATGAATTAATAAATTGTTACTATATGTATAATATCAACTTAAAAAATAAACCTTTAATTTAAATATTTTTCCCTCTTAGATATCGCATCAGATGACGTCTCTCTTGTGGATAACATGATGGAGGAAATGAAAAGTCGTTGCCAGGATCCACATTTCACTGCTGGGCTACTGGCAATGGCTAAGCAGTACAATGTCCTGAGAAGCAACCCCTCCAAACTGCTGTCAGCCTTCCATTCCTTTGGGAAATCTGGCAGCCTGACCAGCAAAAGGGCTGCCATTTTAAGGCGGGCTTCCAGACGTCAAGGCCCGATGATTGGCTGCCAGCCTACAGCTGTTGCACGCAGGAAGTCAGGCGCTGGCTCAAGATGGCGTTTATTTTCTGGGCGCCCTGTGAAACAGCACAATTTAAGTTTGGCAGTGGTGTTGAACACCAGCCATTCAAAAAAACATTAATGTATTTATTGTATCCCTCTGTTTAGAGGCAGGACACTATTTGGTGCCCCTCTACACCCTCTGACTCCTCGTCACCCCCATCCCTCTGTTTAGAGGCAGGACACTAGTCAGTGCCCCTCTACACCCTTTATGTATCTGTTTGTATATGTGTATGCCTTTCTTTCTCATTTGTTTTTCACCTTATGTCTTTGTCATGTCTTATCCCATTTATGGCCTGTACCTTGTCGTGGTAAGTGGGCTTTTGACCAAATCAGGCCTCAAGGTGTATCTCAAATGCTGAAATATAACCTCCCTGTTAATACAAATCCATTACCCTACATCACAGTATGAAATGACTAAAGGTCCACTGCCCTCTGCAGTCATGAAATCTTTCCAGAGGCTGGTGTTGATCCAACCTAAAGGACATCACATGACCCCTGCTTGACCTCCTGCAGTTGATGCAAACAGGTAAGTGGATCATGCAGTCAACTTGGGATTGTATCCTGGGACTTCAGCTCAGCATTCAGCAGTCCCCTGCTCCTACCTCACCCCTCCCACTGTTCCAGCCTTCACCTGGTGAGACATATACACCAATTAAAAGGCATGATTATTACAGTCAACCCTTATTCAGAGTGCCTAAATGTATATATTTTTTTACAGTGCAGATTTTGGCTTTTTTGGGACCATCGCACATGTGTGTAAGTAACAAGTAATGCTGTATAATCTGCAACAACTGTCAGGTGGTGTTATTGATAATCTTTGCAAAAGAGCCCCCACCAATATTGATTTTGACAAATATCTTTTAATTGAAATATGGGAGCAAAAACAAAAGGGTAGAATTGATCATATCATATTATGTTATTATTATTGCAACTGTTTTTATTATATTGTGTTGTTTTGTTTATATATATATATATATTTATGTGTGTGTGTGTGTGTGTGTGTGTGTGTACAAATGATTATTGCAACTGTGTTTATTATATTGTGTTGTTTTGTTTGTGTGTGTTTATTTATACATACATATATATATATGTATGTGTGTGTACAAATGAATTAATATAAAGTGTATATGTGAGTGTGTGTATAAATGAATGAATAAATCTGTGTGTATAAATGAATAAATACACGTGTGAGTACATATAAGTGTGTGTTTATATATATATATGTTTATAAATGTGTGTATATATATATAAAAACAGTATGTGTATATAAATGAATTAATAAAAGTGTATATATATATATATAAAATAGTATCATTAAATAATGCTGTCAGATAAATGAAGTACACAGTAATAGTTAAGGTTATAGTCAATATTCTGCACTTACACCAGCTGATAAGATCTTTAAAACGTCTTTTGTTTGTCCTGAAAACGAAATTTGAGGATACACACAGGCTATTTATAGATGATAAAACACCAGTAATACAATCTCAGGACTCTTCGATATGGCTTTGATTATAGGATCGTTTACTTTCAGTCAAACCAACTATTCAATATTCTGCTTTACCGCGACAGCTATAACTGCCGAAGATGAAGTCTATGAAGTCTATGACGCTATCACGTAGAGCTACGTCGATGCTTGCGTAATGCGGAAGTGGGCGTGGTTAAATCTAAACTGGGTTGGAAAAACGATAGACGCGGCCCGGCTAAAATAACTGGATGGCCTACCTGCCTGTCAGCCTTCCATCTGTGCACGAATTTATCTGGTGCCCTCATTGGTCATGTGCGCGTTCGTGTGTGTTGGAGGAGGGGCTCTGTAAGGAAGTGGCAGATTTGTTCCGGTTGTGTATTTTCAAATTCTAGCGATCTCGAGCCGGTTTCTCAAATGTAGCTACCCCACCTTTAGTTAATAAGAGCAGCTTAGATGAAAGGTGAGCTGTGATATCATGTGAACACTGTGTCCTCCTCTCTGTGCTTTATCACAACTCTTTGAATACAGGCAGCTTTGTCCCATTGATATCCAGAAGTGTAATCTTAATCATTGTTGAGGATTTACATTTCAATAAGTCTTAGAAACAGAGCTTAATCTTTGTTTCCAAGAAAGATAACAAAAGAAGTATATTTATGCTTTGGGACTCCAAAATAAAACCATTAGACGTTTGCAACTCATTCAAAAAGCTGCTGCTAAAATACTGACTAACACCAATTTATAAAAGTACACGATAACATCCCCACTGCCAGGTACATATATAATTAATCTACCAATAACTAATGTTGTGTTTTATGTATTTTAAGTGGGTTGTTTTAATTAGGTTTTATGAATTTTTACTCTGTTAAGTGTCTTTGAGTTTCAAGAAAAGCGCTATATAAATAAAATGCATTAAGTAGAAGTACTCAGATCTTGTACTTCAGTAAAAGTAGAAGTACTCAGGTCTTGTACTTGAGTAAAAGTAGAAGTACTCAGATCTTGTACTTGAGTAAAAGTAGAAGTACCAGAGTGTAGGAATACTCTGTTACAGTAAAAGTCCTGCATTCAAAATGTTCCTCAAGTAAAAGTAGAAAAGTATTATCATCAAAATATAGTGAAAGTAGCGACAGTAAAAGTAGTGATTGTGCAGATTGGTCCATTTCAGAATAATATGTATCTATCTAAAAAGTAGAGGTACCAGAGTGTAGGAATACTCTGAAAACTACAAAAAAAACTCACACAGGCATGAGAATAAGTCAGAGCACTAAAAGAAGTGACATTGTATTTCTCTACAAAGCTCCACTAAAGGTCATTCTCAAAGATTGAACATTCATCAACTTTATTCAGAACTGGGCATGAGTCCCTCACACCTCCGTTATTCATTTGGCATTGTGAGTGCGAGGCCAAGGTTACGCTCCACTTCCTCTCTACATCCATCACACTTCTTAAAACCACCATCTTCTGCCACACAGCCTCGATGCTTTGCAAAACCCCCCCAAAGGAAAGAGGTTGCTGTGTTAGGAACAAATAAAACATTCATTCAGAGGCGCTTCAAGGGGACGTGTTTTCAATTGGAAATAATCTTTAGAAATGCACCAAAATATTTGATGAGAGGTTTACAGAGAGCAGAATCCATTCATGGCCAAACACACACCTTGTGTCCTGGAAGTGGGAAATAAATAACTTTACAAATCTAATAAATGTTCCAATACTGTGAGGACAGTGAACCGGGATGTGAGTCATATAAATCCAGGATGTCGTGGACGATTTCACAAAGCACCAACTTGCTAAGTTACTCATCCTGAAAACATCTCATTCTGACTCTGCTAGGACCTTCAAACTTCTTTGTGAAGACCCAGAGAACTCCTGGGAGGTCAAAGTTGAATGAAAGTTAATTGAAAATTCACTCCAGCACCACCAGGACCTACCAGGCCCCACCAGGTCCAACCAGGACCCACCAGGTCCCACCAGGCCCCACCAGGTCCCACCAGGCACCACCAGGTCCCACCAGGCCCCACCAGGCCCCACCAGGTCCCACCAGGCCCCACCAGGCCCCACCAGGCCCCACCAGGTCCCACCAGGCCCCACTGCTTTCAATCTGTAATTAATGTTGGGTTATATACTTTAAGTGTGTGGTTTTAATTATGTTTTAAAGGGTCTGTGAGTTTCCAGAAAAGCGCTCCATATATAAAATGCTTTATTATTATTATTATTATTATTATTTATGTTATACTAATGTGTCATAAACAGCTGATGATGCAGAAAATCTGACCAATAATTCTCTTTTATTTTATTTGCAAGGCTGTTATATCTCTTACTGAACTACTGAATATATATATTTATTTATTTCCTGGGGATTTTCTAATGCTCTCAAAGAAACCTTTAATAAAACCACACATTAATAATTCCCTTTATTATTAATCAATATCTGAAAAGCCAGCTACCACTCCCAGTAAGTGGAGAAATATATATTTATATGAAAGATGATCTTTTTAATTAAACACTTCCGTTTAAACTTGGATAAAAGGATCAGCCCGTAATGGCCTTTGGAGTCATCGAAGCTGCAAAACAGAGAATGGATTTAAACAAATGTTTCTATAATGAATGGTTAGATGTTACTCTGTAGATATTCAACAACTTGAAGCTATCTAATGAATTAAAACACAGTGTCTCTGAACAATAACCACACATGTCCTTATTTCTGTGTTGCATAGTAATCTGTATACTCTGCAACTCACCTGTAATACGTGTTGTGCCTTTCTTGTGTTGGATAATAAGCCAATCTGCAGCTATTCATGCTTTCAAAGGTCACTAAAGAGCCTTGCTGTTGGTTCCTGCTGATTCCACTTCGTGACATCCCCTAAAATGTTTGTTCAGACAAAAGGACTGAGAATAGCCGGGACTCCCGTTCGTTTCCTGTCTCCATAATTACCGTGTTGCAGAGAGAGCGGCTCTTAACGTCTCTTTTACTGTCAGAACATAATGTACCACTCTATAAGGGCTGTAATTGTAATATATTTAGTGCACGTCAACTGAAGAAATTACAGTATATCCGTGGTCTGGATGTAAT